TAGTATAAATTTATAATAAAAAATATATTTATTACACCTTAACTTATAATTTTTAAATCATATGTTAAAAAACCGTAATTAATTTAGACAAACATGAATTTTAAAACAAGTCAAACTCACAAGACCTACGCAATTAAAGCAACAGTTTAAACAAAACTAATTTCAGTAATTGTAAGCTTCAAAGCAATAATAAATTAATTCAGTAACAGCACAAGCAATATCTCCTTTGTCCCAACATTGAGAATTTAAGACAAGCAATACTTTCTTGCCTGGTTCATCCAAAAATTTGGCAACGTATTATTGGCGCATGTCAGTTAGTCCTTGCCAGTATGATGGGGTAATAAAAAGGATCGGATGACATCAAAACAATAGTGCTTTTACTTTTAACAGCAGCATTCAAGCCTCTTAATTCAACAACACAAAATGTTATCAATAATTTTTTAATGTTCAATCCATTATGTAGTGGCAACTTAACAAAATGACAACATGTGTCTTCCAATTAAATCCTAATGCAAGCCTGAAGATGCTTAAGTCTCTTGACTTGATGTTGATTGATAATTTAGTATGTCCAAGGTCTCCCTAATTTAAGCAGGAAAACATTAGATGAGTGCAAAAAGCGAGGGAGCATAAAAGTTTAAATAAGTAACTATAAATCCATATCTTGAAAACACCTTTGATGAGCTAATTGTTGATATGAAGGATTGAAGAAACATTGTAATTGTATGGCATCAAGATGGAATCACTGTAAAGAAAAACATGCAAATTATGAAGAGAAAAGAAACAAGAACAACAATGTACCATATCAAAATTCAAATTGCCACTGGCAGATATTCCATTCTTATCTAATGTTTGCATGGAGATTTAACAGCTACCTTGCTGAAAAGTTGTTTTGTGTGTATAGAGTATCAAGGATCAAAACCTCCAAGGATTCTTATGAAGCTCATCCTTCTTAATCCATAATAACATTTTACCACCAAAATGGAACTATATAGTTAGGGAAAATGATTGGTATATCTTCTAATTCAACACACTTGGTAACACTCTCCGATTCAGTTATTAAAATTTATCTTTAAAAATTTTCCCGTCTTAAATTCAAATTTGAAAATATTAGTTTATTATAAAAAGAACTAACAAATTAAGTGCAAATACATTACAACAATACACCAAAATAGATTCCCTTGCAAGAAATTGCACATCAAAAACAAGATATTTAAACTTTTAATAGTTCAAAAAAAGAGAAAGTTCTTCTTATGGGCCTTGGGTTTTGATTGTTCTTCCAATTGTTCTTTCTATGAAAATATATGTAAACATCATCAAATAAGATTATGAAGAGAAATCATATTTGGAATTGAATCTATTAAATCTATTAAATCCCAAATCTAATAGCTTGCCACCGAGTGCTTTTTTCATCATGTTCATGTTGTCTTTGATTTCTCTTGATTTTTTGCTTGGTAAATTTGACCACAGATTTTCATATGAAAGCTGGTAAATAAAATTTATAATTGGAGTAGTAAAGAGTTCTAACTCCTCATACTTAACTTACTACACACACATAAAGAATTCATTTAGAAGAAAATTAAATTTACAAACTAAATTAATTCTTGTTGGATAAGAAACACAAATTATGTAAAAAATCCTTATCCTGATATTAAACATAATCTTAAACCAACTATTAATTCCCAGTATGTATTCCTAGCAATAAAACCAACAACAACTCACACAAGCCACATGTGGAACAATTGGTGTGCATGAGAAATGGGCCACTTGCATTCCTCTGAATGAGAATACCCTCCGCTTAGACATCAGTGATCCAAATGGAGATGGATGCTTGCTTCAGAATCCACTCCTCTGAAACGAATGAGATTGCTGACGCCAGTGGGATTCTTCAACTTGGATTTGATAGCAGAAGAATAGTGAAGGCATCCCTTGTGTAAATTTCCTCTTCTCCATCCTTTTGGTTTGGTATGAGCCTTAAATTAGAGTCACAAACCATGAAATCAAGCGCAAAATCTTCATCGCCCATGGCAGAAACTGCGTTATGTAAATCAAAAAAGAAGATGAAAACAATTGAGAACCAACCCAGCAAATTCTAAATGGAAATAGCAACTCCTTATTTGTTATTTTCAGAAAGCAAACCCAACAAATCAGGGGCACAAACCTAAGTAGGAAATCGTTCGCGGAAGTAGAAATTGATCGAGCCATCATGGGGTGGTTTCTTGCAGTTTTTTATAGCATAAGAACGTAGAACAACAAAAGCATATGCCATCAAAACGTCTTCGATGTTTGCTGTTTTGGGCCACCTAAGCCCATTAAGGCTACATTGGAAGCGCTATTAACGATAAGGATTGATGTTTAATAGCCTTTAAAACTAGAAAAATGCTTCTGTCTCTCGTAGAAGGCCCAATATATAGGGCCTTCTCACAAAGCTTTGGGTGACACCTTGGTATACACTGATCAATACAACAAACAGTTACAATCCTGTTCGTCTCAATTTTTGGGTTTTTGTTTAAGAATTTTGATGATTGCAACCTTAAAATTCTCGTGTTGGGCGTTGTACCAGTTCTGTGAAGCCACCTGCATTATATATTGAAAATCCATTATCCTTTAAATAGCTTCCTGGGAATTCCTTGGCCTTGCCCATAATTTCAATTTCTTGTATTTTCTACATCTTTGGCTTTGCTGACATACAACAAAAACAGCCTATACCATTGCTCCCTGCCCCTTAGGGGCTGGCTTATTCCCGTATCAGTCACTCTTCTTTGCCAACTTCCTTATCCCATGCCGCAAATGCCTGTGTCTTCCACTCCTTGCGCCTCTACCAAACCCTCTTTCCTCAGCGTGCTACCCCGGCCTGAACTGGTGGTATTCCCGTACGAGACCAAGCTTCCTCCCCCACATAACCGCTGCCTTGCAACCTCCCTACCTGGCTCAGTCCGTCAAGAAGCAGCCTTTAGCCTTTTCACCTGCCCCCTACACCCTCCCTTTTCCACACAGCAGCCGCACCACTCATGGCCTCTTCCCCAAATAAATTAGAAATCAAAAAATATAATCAAATATTAGCAATTATCATTAAGAATATTAAAAGTCAAATAATCAATAATTAAAAGTCTAAAGTCAAAAACAATTAGCAATTACAATAATTGGTAATTATAAAAGAAAAAACCATGAAGAAATGACTTAATGGTCAAGATTTTGAGATTTTAACTTTTAAATTTTAAATTTTAATTTTGAGTTTAATAGGAAAAAATTAAAAAAAATTATTTTTTTCATATAAACCATTGTCATCATATGTTATAAAAAAAATAATTGCAAAAGAACATATGACTAAAGAAAAAGATGTTAGAACAATCAAGTTGTATTTTGAATTGAGAGAAAAAATTATGAGTTTAGATAATCAATTATGTTATATAAGTGATAAATAAGTTTAGGTTTCTCCTTTTTACCTAATAATTTACATATATATATATATTGTAATTTGTTATTTTGTAGTTACACCTAAAGAAAATTTTTAATATTTTAGGCTAGGCCTGGGCCTCATCCCCTAGCCCAAACCCCTTGCCTGAGGATTTCATTCCTCATGGTATCTGTATCTTTCCAAGAATGTCTCTAAATATTATAGTTTTCAGTTTTTATACTCTTAATTGTTGTAAAATGTATGACTAATATATAATCTTTTTTTGCATCCGGCCCTTGGGGCCAAGTGGTCTCTGACCACCGATGCATTTCCCCCCTCCCCCGGGCTGGGTTCTACCCGCCCCATGTAATCTTGTTCAAAAAAATATATAATCTTTTTTTTTGAGACATTTTAAAAAATAAAAATTTTATGTTAAAACTCTTAAATTCAAATTTTAACATAAGTGAAGAGAGGTATGAAAAGATAGATAACTATTTTTTTTTTTTGAAATGTATAATTCATTATATTATAATATCACCAATGATTATTATAATTCAATGGTTATAATTCTTTTTAAAAAATGATAATATTTAAAAATTTAAAATTTAAATATTAACAATTACAATCCCTATCCTCTAACTGTGCTAGTTAACAAAAAAAAAAAATAATGCCATAATATCAAATCCAAATCCAAGGCTACAGAAGGCAGTGGGTCACTGGTGCTGGAATGTCGGCAAAGACCCAGAGAAGGAGGGCAAAAGCCTAAAAATAACTCCTTACCTTGATAAGTTGACAGTTTTAACCCCTCAGCTTATAATATAACGGTTTTACCCTAACCTATAAGAATGAAAGAAAATAGCCCTTACCTCTAACTTCCGTCCACTG